TTTCCACCTCCAACCCAGGATCAGATAGGAGTTTGGCGCACACACACACACACACACACACACACACACACACACACACGCACACACGCGCACACACACACCTAGATGAGTGACACACAGAGGGCTCAGGGCGGATGTGCTTGAAGCACTGCGAGTCTGGAAGGGGATGTTTGGGATCACAGAGGACAAAAGTCTCTCTCTCTCTCTCTGTGTGTGTGTGTGTGTGTGTGTGTGTGTGTGTGTGTGTGTGAAGCAGATAAAAACATGCCTGCCTCTTTGTTCGAAGGCATCAAAGGAATGTTCATGGTGGGCGCTCTGCTCAGTCTCACCACCAATTCTGACTCTGTCAAGTCGCTGCTGCTCTTCTGCTCTGTCCAGCATCTTACAGTCGCCTGAAGTTTGTTTCTTCTGCAGATGATGAGACAAACTGTACATTCAAACCTGCAGCCAGGACATGTGACACCAGTTTATGAACATTTAGATGCACCAATGCAGCTGCTGACTCCAACATGCATACTTCAACTTCCATCTGTCAGCTCTGCAATCATTTGAAATTTACTTGATATAACGATCAGCCAGTAGCTGCGTTTCCTTTAACCAATAGCGGAATTTAGAAATAAATTTGCAAAATGAAAACATTGCAATAAAATTTCAATAAAAAGTTTTAGTGCTACAAGAAGGTGTTTTTTTTGGCCGTATCAAAATTGGTTTATTTTGCAAAAATGAAATGGAAACATTTTTATCACAAACCATGAAGAAAAAGACGCGAAGAGGCAGTTGGAGGATAAGAAACAAAATTAAAATCACAGAAGAATAAGTTTGTTCACGTGATAATTAAAAAGCATTTTTTTAAAATTGCTTCATTTACATTAAGTAAATTTATTTTCAAAATTTCAAATTGGATAATTATATGGTCATTTTTTAAACTGTTATTTAATTAACAGTCTTATTGCAACAGAGGTCCATCCTACTGAAACTCGTTACCGTTTCCAGCTTTCTAACTGTAAAGTTAGCAGAACCAGCGTCGCCATGTGCATCAAAACGGATTAATGCTAGATTAAACGCAGCCTCCACCCTCCTTTAGATCCAAACACTGCTTCCACCAACCTATTCGCCTTGGTGCATCTCGCCACTTTGAAGTCTGCCGGCGTCTGAAAGAGGACTTTAAGATGATCCAGACAGCTTTCACAGACAGATAAAAGATTACAGAGAGATATGTAGAAAGGAAGAGACAGAAAAAGCCCCAACAAGGGGCAACAAAGGGGGAAGAGGCGGGTAGCACTGTGCCACTTAAAAGACCGAGCACAAACATCTGATATGCTTGTAGTAACACAATCTGAGTAAATGCTTTAGGACAAGGGTGTACAAACTTTATCACGCGTGCCAAAGTTGTAGAGTCAAAAATAGTCGCGGGACAAAAAAATTAAACAAAGAAACAACCTAAAATCAGGCGAATGAAGTAACCCAATTTTTTTTTCTTTTAAAAAAAAATTATTTAAAAAATTAAGAAATAGTTCCAAAACTTGAAAGGGATTTTTATGATAATGTGTTGGGGACATTGTAGATAGAAATAAAATGTAAAAAGAAAATAAAAAAGGTAAATTTCCACCAAAAAAATCTCAGAAATTGAGATACATCTCAGGTATTTCCTAGAAAAAAAATGTTGAAAATTTTTTGATTTTTTTCTGAGTTTGAGAAGTTGACCATTTTCAACTTTTGAAACTCAGAAATTTCCAAGATTTTTGTAGAAGATTTTGAGATTAATCTCAAAATGTCTGAGTTTTTGGTTGAAATTTACCACTCGTTTTTTAAGAGTAGAAGGTTCTCCTGTGAGCCACTGAAAAACCAGAACGTTTCCCCCGCCTGTACCAGGGAGAATTAGAAATGTCCAGAAATTAAAGTTGGTTAATTTTAGTTGAAACATCAAGTTGAACAACCAGAGTTTATCCTTCCCACTGGATTTGCTGCTCTAAAGCCAAACCTGACACAAAGTCTTCTTTGTGTGCTGTGTCAGGTACGGAGGCGGCCATCAGAGGTATGCAGGGGGCCAGGTGAGGGTGAGGGGCGGGGCCCTTTAAGGGTCTCCTTCATGTTAGGATCATTGTTTGACTAGCTGAGGAACTTTTGAAATATGAAGTGAAATATTTAGAAAATGTCCCACAAATAAAATCAGGTTTTTATTGGTCCACCTTAACAGATGGAATGAAAGCAATACTACCAAATATTAATTTAAAAATATCAGCAGTTTGACAGTTTTCAAGACATTTTGCTTGATTTCTTCTGATTTGTTGTAGGAATCTGAGGTTTTAAGTGTCAAACTCACTCTAGACTCCAGACATCAAATCACATCAATTAGTCCCTCCAGTTTTTCATGGCTCTGAAATGGCGAAAATTCACGCAAAATCAAAAGAATTTTTTCATGCTAATGAGTTTGTTTAAAATGATAAATAACATAAGACATAAAGGTGCAGTATTATTTCCAGGCACATTTTGCAAATTTACAGTATCAAGTGACTGCTACCTTCAGTTGTGTAAGAATGCCTTATATCAAATATGTCCTAAAAAAATTTGACTTCATTACTTAATGAAATTGGGCCTCTGTGTCTTTAAGAAACTTCCGCTCTTTCTGTTGCCATGGAGATCGAAGTATTTATCAAATATGCAAGAAAGAATCAAATGAGCACCCCAGGTATATTTTTGATGAAGGAATAATTTCATAACAAGATGTAAAGCTGAAAAACGTCGATTTTTTACGTAATACTGCAACTTTTCGTTATGCTGACTCCCACCTGCAGGTGGCAGTGTTTCCTATTTTTTACTACACTGCTGCGTCAGCCTGATTTTGACGTCAAGTTTCCCCCGGTATGTTGGTCCGCAAGTAACAAAAGGTAATTCTAAATTATCACCGCAAATCAGTGATTTTGATTGCAATTTTTTTTTTCCAATATGACTTAATTTTACTGAGTTATCAGATGCAGAGACAGCTATTTATTAATATTTTACAGTGTGTTAGTCGGTTTAATTAATATATTCGCTCACAAGCTGCCTTGAGAACATTAATTATCTTGATTCGGCCCAAAATGAGAAAGAGTTTGACACCGGTTACAGGTGAATTAGACGGCCAGGTGAGGACAGACGTCTCTTCTGTTCACCTGGAGGACAAAAGGACGGATGTTTGAGAACAAAGCAGTAAAGTAGCAGCTGATGACAGCAATTAAAGATGGCCTCCAACCACAACGATCCGACCTTCACGCTAATTTTAGTCCTAAACGACAATATTTTCTATCTGAACAATGCAAAGCTAACATTTGACAAAATATTTTCTGTTTAGTTTATAGAGCAAAATATCTTAGTACAATTGAAATACAGCAAAACTAGCATAAAAGTAACTTTTCAGGTAGAAAAAGGAGCTTGTTTTAAGTCAATAATTCATTAAAACCGATTTAATAGTTCCATTGGCAGATTATTTCACTTATTAAAATGGGAAATATGTCTTGCTATAATGCAACTACCTAAAAAAATCAATATGAAGGAATTGGTTACTTAAAAGAAGCTTCTATGTTAGTTTTGTTTTATTTTTCAAAGTCCACACTGATATAAATTATTAGCATTTAACAATTGGCACAATCAAACTCTAAAGTTCACAATTAAAAGTATTATGTCAAGGCCAGGCTTTAGCAGCAAAATCTACCACAAATACTCTAAATGTTGAACAACCTTTATTAATTAAAGCATAAATTAATGTGAATTGATCTAATTTCTTTACTAATAAATTTCCCAGATTTTTGTCACTTTTATATTTAAAGTACATAAATTTTTAGCATGATTGACATAACTTATATTTTGTTAAATAAATATATGTGTCCAAATTGTTGGGGTCATAATTTGTTTTTGTCAAACATCACTATTTCACGGGAAGTGTGGATGGTTTGTAGTTCTATTTTCTCCAACTTAAGATAAATGCAGATAAATGGTAAATACATGAGGATTAATTTCTGCTGTATGTTTGTGAAAATGTTTTTCTGAAATACTTTGGTCACCTGATGTAACTAATCGTTTATAAAGATTAAAATAACTCCTCAGTTATTGTTGGCAAGTTACCACAGCGGCATCCATAAGGGGTATGTCTTCTTCTGCGTGCTAGATTTATCAAATGCTGCCCCCTGTTGGCGAAAAAAATAACTGCAATTAAAAATTAAACTAGAAAACCCGAGAAACATGGCAGCTCAAGTTACAAATAAACGATTTGCTCCTTATATTTAAGTAAATCTAGTTAATCTGAGGCTCCGTAGTTTGACTTTTTATAATGGGTTATAACTTAAATAGCCAAAATCAAATTATCTTAACACATGTATAAAAAGAAATGTAGGATTAAGAAATGTTTGTTTTTAATTACTTTAACTGAATTTCCTCAATGAAATACCAGTAAAATTTGTTTTATACTTTCGTGGGAAATCTTTTTTTAAACATTGTTTTCCAGATGTATCTTCTATTGTCCTTCATTTTGATGCCTAAAATATAAATGACTTGGTGGTTCTCAAAGAAAAATTTAATTTAGTAGATGTTTATCAAAAAATAAATGCTTTACGGCTTTAAGCAGGTGAGATGCTGAACTGAAAGGAAAAATGTCTCTGGATTATAAACACTGCAGACCCAAGTATAGACCAAATATTATTTAAAGCCGATAACTCCAACAGAAATTTGGACACTTTCACAGACGGGTTAAGATTTGAAAACCACAAACAAACAAAAATTTCTGGGAATGTAATGTCACATAGTAAAAATCTTCAAAACTTCAAAAATCTGCTGAAGAAAGCTTAAAAAGAAAATGTCATCTTATTTTATACTTATAATCTGCTAATCTCAGATAATCCACTCATCTGACAGGTCAGGACTGTTAAAAGCAGCAATTTGAAGCTGATCCGTCGTGTCGCCTTGCAGCCTCAGGTCAAATAAACAGGTTCAAAATATTCACTGGTTAATGAAACACAAACAAAATGTTGCTTTTTTCTTCCATTTTATTTAACAAACGTTCCAGATTCATCCAACGTGACACTCAGAAGTTCCTGCAAGACGGAATAAAAAAAAAAGAAAAGTTAGAGCATAAAATAATTACCAAAACAAATAAACTTTATGCATCCTACAGCAAAACCAGCTGATATTTTGGTTACGTTTCAGTAACTGAATATTTGAGGTAATCAACCGACTAATTACTGTTTATATTTAAAATATTGTCACAGAAGAGAATAATTAATAACTTGGAAGAATAAAACTTATCTTTTGCAGACGAATTAAACTCTACGAAATATTTCCACATTGTTCATGTTAGATTCTAGATTTGGTTCGTTAGTCCAGTTTTATATTAACACTTTATTTAAAAGACGACATTTAGCAGCTGACAGGATGAAACTAAAACGTCTAAAGGATAATAATCTGAATGTGATTATTGTCTCAGGCAGAAAACTAGAGAATAAATTCCTACTTTGCAACAACGCCGTCGGCCTTGGCCAGCCTCAGGATGGAGTCGTCAGATTCTCCCTGCAGAAACAGGAAAGTTTAGGAAAAACTGCAGAGGCTCAGGTTCAGCACCACTGATTTTAGTCACTTTATATGGAAGAGAACGAGGGCCACGAAAAAAAGAAACTGACTCATTTCTCCCAATTCTGAGAAAAAAGTCAAAATTAAGAGAAAAATCAAGAGAATTTTGAATTAAAATGTCAGAATTCTGAGAAAAAAAATCTGAATTTTTTTCAGATTTCAAATTTCAAATCAAATTTCTCAATTTGATTTCAAATTGAGAAATCAAAATTTGATTTGAGAAATCACATTTTGTTGATTTCTCAAAATTCTGAGAAAAAAAAGTCGGAATTCTGAGCTTAAAGTTAGAATTGAGAAAAATAGTGAGAATTCTAAGAAAAAAAACATCAGAATTCAGAACAGAAAAAAGTCAAAACTGACGTAAGCGCCGCCAAAATTCTGAGCAAAAAAAGTGTCAGAATTTGGAGCAAAGAAAAAAAAATCGTCAGAATTTGGAGCACCGAATGTCAAAATTCTGAACAAAAAACATCTGGATACTCCGGGAAAACAAATATTCTTGTCAGAATTCAGAAAAAAGAACAAACATCAACAAAAAGCAAAAACAAACTAAAAACATCACCAGAATTCTGAGATAAAACATCAGAATCCATTTTTCCCCCAGTGATTCTCTTCTGTGACGTTCCCAGTCAGAACCAGTGAAGGTTTACCGTCTGCTGCCGGATCAGACTGTTTGAACGCCCTCAGGGATCCTGGCTCTGGTTCACACTCACTCTTTGTTTCCACATTCTGAGAGCTGCCAGTAAGTAAAGTTTAAAAGATTGTCTAAAGCAGTGGTTCCCAAACATTTTCTGCCCCCCCCCCCCCCTATGGATTAACGGCCGGGGGGGGGAGTGAATCGACTTCTTTGGGGACAAAATGACTGTACGTAGCTGAAAATAGACGCCAACATCGGTAGCCTACAAGGTACTTGTTAGGCTTAAGGTTCTGTGTTGATTAGCTAGTCATCTTTTAGCTAACATTACCTGCATCCAGCAGCTTTACTCAACTCAGTCGGTTAGTTTGGAGGGAAAAACTGTGAAAAGTTCTTTGCGTTTTGCTGGTTTGCTGCCGTGATTCTAACACAAACCTACGTAGCTCCGCCCAGCAGCAGCAGGTCTCCTTCACAGGTGGAAACCCAGCGCGAGCATGTTGCGTTTAAAGGCGGCTCGGAAAAACAGGTTACAACATGTTAACAACGGATTAAGCAGTTTTAACTGCTGATAAAAGTGATAGAGGACACAAATATGGGAAGTGTGGAAGCCTCTACTGTATCAAACTGACAGGAATAACAGAGAGTTGGCCATTCTAAGGTAAAAACCCAGCGCATACAGTGTTCATGTTTTTTTTGTTTTTTTCATCCAGACGGCTTCCCGCGCCCCCCCTGCAATGACACGGCACCCCCCTAGGGGGCGCGCCCCACAGTTTGGGAACCTCTGGTCTAAAGCATGACGCCTTCAACACATTCCCGGGTTTTGGAGCGCCAACAGGAAGCGGGCCGGACTGTCCTGGTGTTTTTGTTAAGAGGCTGAAAGCGTTTATGGCTGCTCTACAGCTTATTGGTTCATCTGTCCTGCTTTGTTTGAACAGAGTTATGAAACCAATTTGGTTCCTTTTAACACGAGGAACCTTTAGCTTGAACTCCACATGGGGAAGGTAATCAGTGAGCAATAAACCTGCGTGTTCTTCAGCCAATCAAAACGCAGCAGATGTTTAATGTACAGGAAAGTACCACAGGTAAGACGAAATAAAAACAGCAACAAGAAGTGAAACAGAGCCGGGTTATGAGTGGAAAGAGTCCCGTCTGAAAGCACCTGGCGCTAAAAACAAGGGGCCCATTTACCTGGAACTTCACAAACAAGTTACAGAGAAAAGTCCTAAAAAACAATCAAAATAAACTAGAACTGGATGTTTTTAAGCCTTCAGAACATCAAAGATAAATATATGAATGTTTTTCACACTTTATGCGTAATTCTGACCCAACCAGACCCCGACCAAATAAAAAACATTGACTAATACTCCAGCAAATTAAAAAGAAAGGTGTCAGTTTTAAAAATGCTCATGGGAATTTATTTCTAGAATAAAATAAAAATCAAATGCATCAAAATAACAAAAATGTCTGAAAAGATCAGCTTAAAAGCATTATAGCTGAAACGATTAATCAAATTAATGGTGATTAAATGATTATAGAAATAACTGTCAACTAATTTAGCTACTGATTAATCGCCAAATGAAAAGGAGAAATTTAGAAAAAACTGAACAAAATTATAAACATTTACATTAAAGATGAAAAAATCCTTTATTTGTAAATATGTTCTATCAGAACTCCATAAGTGGCAGTTTTAGCTTCGCCTGATTCAAATTCTGTAAAAAAAAAAAAAAAATCTTAATTTGTTTATCTGAAAAAATTAACTGATTAGTTCTGCAATGTACTGAAGTTAAATCAAGCAGAAATGTTGATGTTTGAAATATTTTTCCTTTGCTACAAATGATCAAATGTTCACTAAAGTAATTCTGGTTTTATATTGTGGGCAATAAAATGTTTATTTTCTTATTTAAAAAATGACTTATTTGTGTCTTTAATACATTTCTAATATTGTGTGAAAAGAAAAATCTGCAAAAGTGTTGGGCGAGTTCAACTCCAAAAATCAATCATTAGTGTGAAATACATTTTTCTTGACCATTATTTAGTCTTTATCATTGTATTCATTGTTCTATTCAATTTTTTTACAATATTATTGCCATCTCATCTTCTTTTGAATACTTGTGTTAAAAAAACTAAGTTTGAAATAGGTTTACCAGCTAAAATCTAAAAATATTTTAACAGTTTAGTTTAAATAAGTTTCTGTGCATGCAGAAATGTATTTCTGTGTTTGATGAATGCAAAAAAAAAAAAAAAAAAAAAAAAAAGCAGAAATCTGCTGTGAGTTGTGTTTCTGCATGTTGTTCAGCAGCCGCAGACGTACCATCCTGCGAATGGCTCCACAGATGGCGTAGGTCTTGGACTGACCGTTGAAGCGGCCGGTCACTTTGTCGACCTGAAGGGAGAAAACCAAACAGAGGAACTCATTTTTACTCATATTTACCCTTTAGAGAGCGAAAAACGTCTCATTAAGTGGAAACAGAAAGGTTTCATATGCATGAAAGCGTTTAAAATAAGCAGAAGTGTATGACCTGGCCAGCTGACAGAGTCCAACAACAACAACAACATCTCTGTTTACAGCCGAACTCTGACACTGAAGCAAAAACAAAACCTATCAATCTGTTTCTGTTTCATGTTGGCAAAAGTCTGGTTGATGATCAACGTCCAGCGACAGGGACTCGACAGCAACGCAGGTTTTTCCTGGAGATTCTGCTGTTTAATGTTGAAACCAAATTTATGCAAATTACACCTAAAACTCCTTCATGCTCACCAGTTAAACATTCAATGGATGTTCGGATGTTTTTACTGCGCGGCTTTCCAGCTTGTAGTACCACTAAGTCACCACCAGAGGGAGGAAAGCAGCTCTAACTTCTAATCTCAACCCGTTTCTGGCTGATAATTCATGGGGAGAATCAAGTTTGTCCAAATCTGCCAAAGAAAACTAAATAAAAGGAATCGAGCGTCAGTTTGTCATGGTTTCAATAACTCAAATTTAAGACTTTTTAAGAGCATTATGAATGAAATGTGAGATTAACAAGAAATCTTGTTAGATTTTTACTTTAGTTTATTTACCATTCCTTTTAATCTTTTTCTTCACTAGCTAGCACATTTAAGGATATGCAGACACCCTACACAAAAAAGGTCTTTAACAATAAAAAAAGTTTAGTTTTTTTCTTGCTGTCTAGCTGCCAATATGCCGTTGGTAGCTAACTACTTTTTTTAGTCATGATACAGGTTTTAAATTTCATTTATAAAGGTTTTAAGGCCTTAAAAGTCCTAAACTTGAGTTGGTGAAACCTGCAGAAACCCTGTATTAGCTACTTGTTGCCAGTCAAAACTCAAAGATGTGTGTGCAACTCAAATTTTTGACTGGCAGAAAAGTCCAGCAAGAAAACAACTACAGAGAATATGCAAGGTTAAATAATGTCAAAACCTCCAGATGACGATATTTGAAATGATTTCTTTTTAAATTAATCACAAATCCATGCCGACTTCTGAGCCAAATAAAAGATATTAAATTTAAAATTTGTATGAATATTTTTGGCTTTCAAAATCTGGAAAGTAAAAATAACTATTGTAATTTTAAAAAACTAAAAACAGTGGTTTGCCTTGGACTGAAACTGGAGTTGAGATCCCTTTATAAACTGAAAGTTCAGTTTAATTTAGCGGAGCAGAGAAACCACCAGTACGGCACAAACAGGCCAGACGAACCGAAACGCTTTAATATTCTTCTAGGTGTCTGACTTTACCTCAGCGATGTTGATCTGGATGGAGGCGTGGTCCTTGGCGCCGATGATTCTGTTGCTCGCAGAGCTGCAACAACAACAGATTTAGTTGATCTGTCAGTGACAGAGCAGGAACTGTTATTGGAACTAAACAGGCGGCTGAATCCCAGAATGTTCTGGTAGAGAAGTTGCAATTTTTAGTTTTTTGTACATTTAAGTTATCCAAAAGTAACACTTTTGGGGAAAGTTTCCTCACAACGCCTCAAATTGTCGACCTTAGTTTTAAAAATTCAGACTTAGCTGGTGAGACTTAGATAATTTAGAATAACTGGCATACCAAAGGTGTACATAATTATTCCTACCCCTGACAGATTTACATTTAAGGTTCTCTATGGCTATTAAGTGTTAAACAGCTTGCCCTATGTAACAAGCTGTCCAGCAGGTAAAGCAGCAGAAGAAATGACGATGAGCTGCTGTTCAACAGCCAGCGAGTGACTCGGATCTGACCTCTCCTCTCTTTGCCGTCTTCCTATAAGCAAACGCAGCAGACCAACTAGGACTGCAGGGTTAGAAACAGATTAAATCTGTGGTATAAAATTCAATTTACAAGCATTGAACCAGAAACTCTTCTAAAAGAAACGTCATTTTAAATGTGAATCTGCCAGAGGTATAAGAATCATTTATGGCTTAAAGATAACTGAAACCTAATTATCTGTCTGTGAATGCAAAATAAACTACATCACATCGGAACACGCTCCGTTTAGATGATTTTAAACTGAAGGATGTTTCTATGGTTGTTCTCCAAAACTAGATCTCACAAAAATGCTTCATTTTCCTGAGGATTTAAATAAAAAAATGCTTTCAAATGTGAATTTAGCAATAAAGAAATAAAAATAAAAAACTCACCATTTGCGAGGGACGTACAGGTCCACAAATTCACCAGCGTCGTTCTGCATTTTGAAAGTTGTGCAGGTTGTCAACTACAAACCTGGAAAACAAACAAAAAACTTAAACAGAGAGCTCTATAGCCGCATGGTTTCAAGGAAATGTGATTTTAGAAAGCTGAAAAGCACAATGCAGAAATGCTGTGTTGGAATCAGGGACCAACACAGCAGCTAGCGGCTAACCCCGTTAGCATGAGGACAGCACGGCCGCATGTGGCTGCTTTACACACACGAACATCCTTTATTCACGCAACATAACAGCAGCTAGCGACAACAAATAACAACTAGAGAGTTTAATATAACATTAACTACAACAACTACCATAAAACACTGCCGTGATAAACTGAAAGCGAAGTTTTAAAACGTTTAGAAACCAGAGCCGAGGAGATACACACCGCTTACGACAAATGGCCGACTGGAAAAGGAAGAGCTGTAGTTCCGGAAGTGGAAAAAAAAAAATCCCTCAATGTTTTTATCGCCACCTGCTGGTTTTTAGCTGTAACAACAATCACAAACACCAAGTGCCTGGACAAAGTGCACAGAAATTTGTCTACATGTTTTCCTCATTAAAAAAACGATGCTTTAAACAATGTTCTGCAGAAAATACAACTTTACACAAACAGAACCAAAACACAAAACAAGGAAGACATAGTTTAAGAAAGTATCGGAGATTGCTTTTATTTTTCTGTTTTTATCTTTAACATTGAAAATAGCAGCAGAAAGCAGCTTAAAATATGTATATAGTGGCAGAATGAGAATAAAATGAGTTTTTTACTCCTAATAACTTAGGTTATTTCTTTGAAATAATCAAATTGAAGAAATCTATAGCCAGCATACCTTCTGAATTGCTTCCACATTTTGTTTGTTGCATACAGAAAAAAAAATTTCAATTAGAAATTAAATATTTGTTTGTCAGACAAATAATGCAAAAAACTATAAAAAATATTTTAAAAATACACTTTTATAATAAAAACAAAAACAACTGTCTGGACTAGTTTTTAATGTTCTGAAAATAATCCACAATTATTACACATTTCTTGTTTTTCTTGTTACACTTAAATGTTGTATATAATCAACCAGAATGTATAATTAGACAGAGACAACCATATTGAATTAAAAAAAAACCAAATTATGATTCCTTCATTAAGGGAAAACAGGCCTCATTCAAGGTCATAGTTTATCAATCAATCAATCAAATTTAATTTGTATAGCACATTTCAGAGCCAAGGCATTTCAAAGTGCTTAACATAATTAAAGAAAAAATAAAAACAGCATGTGACATTGAATAAACAGTAAGAAAGAGAGAGAGATTTTGAAAAAAGAAGAAAAAGATTAAAAAAGACAAAAACATACTTTTGTTACAGAATATAAGCTCCTCTCGTCGCCGGGCTCCTCCGTCCGTTTAACATGGGTATTATCCAGGCCCCGTCGCCTGACAAGACAAGGTCTCCAACCTTGCAGCACCAGGCTCTGTAGAAAGAGGGATTAAAGAAATTAATAAATAGATAAAAAGTAAAGATAAAAACATTAAAAACATCGAAGACATAAAAACATCAAAGACATCAAAACTCACACTCTAACCCTAATTTAGCCATAAGCAGCTCTAACCAGGTGGGTTTTAAGTTGAGATTTAAAGGCTCTCAGTGTTTCAGCTGTTTTACAGTTTTCTGGAAGTTTGTTCCAAATCTGTGGTGCATAGAAACTGAATGCTGCTTCTCCTCGTTTGGTTCTGGTTCTGGATGCAGAGCAGAACCAGAACCTGAACCTGAGGGGTCTAGACGGTTGGTACAGCAATAACAGATCTTTAAGGAATTGTGGTGCTAAACCGTTCAGTGATTTATAAACTAACAACAATATTTTAAAGTCTATCCTCTGAGCTACAGGGAGCCAGTGTAGGGACTTTAAAACTGGTGTTATGTCTCCATCTTCCTGGTTTTAGTGAGAACAGCAGCAGCAGCTTCTGGATCAGCTGCAGCTGTTTGATTGATTTCGCTGTTGCAATAATCAATGCGGCTAAAGATAAATGCATGGATGAGTTTCTCTAGATCGCGCTGAGACATCAGTCCTCTAATCCTGGAGATGTTCTTCAGGTGATAGAAGGCCGACTTTGTGACTGTCTTAATGTGGCTCTGAAGGTTCAGGTCAGAGTCCATCACTACTCCCAGGTTTCGGGCTGATCGCTGGTTTTCAGTTGCAATAACTGAAGCTGAGCACTGATTCTAGTTCGCTCCTCTTTAGGTCCAAAGATAATAACTTCAGTTTGTTTCTGTTCAGCTGGAGAAAGTTTTGGCCCATCCACACATTTATCTGTTGTAAGCATCTGTTCAGTGATTGGATGAGTTTATATGGCAAACAATAAGAAAAACACTGGAAAAATTGCCTTTATGGAAGAACTTCACAGCCAAATGTTTCCAGCAAAAAAGAAACTCAAAGCCTTGTCTCACAGTTACTGAAAACCAGTAAATATGATCTTTGTTTGAGATAAAAAACTGATGTTTCTGGAAGGTGTTTTTCCCCTCTAGTTTAACTTTAATATTATTGTATTTCACGTCCTTTTTGGTATGTTTACCAAAAACATCCCATATCATATGCATTTTTTTTTTACATTGATACTTTGTCTTTTAGTTGTTTATGTCCATTTTGGTATGGAGAATGTTAATGACGATTATGACGCCATACAAAAACTTGTATGATATCATACAAGTGCATCTTGGCAATCATGATAACCGAGCAGAGAGCAGACACTTTCTCCAGCCAGCTCTGCAAGAACGTTTGGATCTCTTTTTATGCTCCCTCGTATCTCCATTACACTCATGGAGAAATTCTGCGCGCGCACCGACCCATATGCTCGCTTTTACCATCTCAACTTTTGGAATGATTATGACGCCATAGTTTTAGTCTGGTTTGGTTGTTTTGGTCTGTTGTGAAGAACAGTCTGAATCAAAAAGCAAAGCTCAGTTTATCAGTCCATCTTTGTTTTGTCACTTATCTTTGGCAGTTATGAATCATGACAGATTCAAATTCTTGGGCAACACTGTTTCTATAAAAATAAACAATTATGTCATTTTTATTTTTACTTTTATCATCTGGATTGCAGACATTGAAGCTTTGCTGTTCAAATATGTTTCATTGAGGACAGTTTTCAGTTTCAGTGCTGCCTGGTTTTCATTTGAAGCTTCAGTGGTTGAATACTTCAAATTTTATTTTATAACATAGTCAAAAATGAAGGGGTGTCACATTCTGTGCCTCACCTGTCCATTTATGAAAACATTTCTGAGTTTCAATGCTTCTTGTTTTAGTCCTGTTATGGATCAAATCATTCCAATGATGCCTTAAAGGTCACAGATACTCATGTGGGAGGTATTACTGTTATGGGGCAGAAACTAAGCCATAATAAAACCACATCGACTACAGCTCTAACATCAATTATTCATTTTTTGTTTGTTTTTAAGACGAACCTGACATTGTGAGGTTCAATGCAAGAACATTACAAAGAGGGTTCCTGCATGGTATAAAGAATGCAAGAACCATAAATGTAATTCTTTATAAAAATAATAATGAAAAAGGTTTTGTCAACTTTGAATATATTTACATGTCAAAGTTTTTATGTAGTTATTTGGAAAAATTAATGTAAACCAGGTTTTATTTTACTTCCACTGTAATATAACGTTAAATAAATCAATGAAAAACAAGTTCATGGTCATAACATGACAAAAGGTGGAATATCACCACATTCAATGCAGAATAAATATACGTAACTTTTACAATTTTTAGAAAGTTTTTCAACTCCTTTTTCTGGTATTTGTTCTAGGAAATGGGAATAGTGTTTGGATATGAATTAAATTATGACAAACTCTTTTGATTTTGATTTTATTAAACGCAAGAAGAGCACTTTTTTCTAAATAAAATCTAACAAAGATATCAGGTCAAATTGTCAAACATTTTTATTTAAATTGTGAAAATAAATTGGGAGTAAAGATCAGAGGATTTTTTAAAGGGGCGGTTATCCCATAATGACTGGGTGGACAGTAATTTCAGGAAAAAATGCAAAATGATTATTATATAAATAAAATATATATATAAGATCAAAATGACTCTTTATACTAAATACGCTGTTGTTGACAATAAAACAATGCAAATCATTTTAGTGTCATTTAATTAATAATTACACAATATGGTGTGCAATAATTAAAGAAATATGATTTATGAAATTCATTATTGCACCAATAAGTGAGTAAATGTTTGGTCATTTCTAACAATAACTAAAATTTTTATTCTGTTACATTTTTATGACGACTGAATGATTCTGATGATGAAACCAAATTTCATCATCATTATAGCAAATTATAGTGATTCTGACCCATACTCAGTTATATTTATTTAAAACATGTATTTATTAGAAATAAAATAAAGGTTTTCAGTGTTATTTCTTCTTATTTTTTTATCTACATTGCTCAACATTATAAAAATAATCTGAGGTTTTACAGGATATTTTTCATATGATTTAATAAAAAATAAACTTTTTCCAACATTAACAAACATTGACCAAAATTTTCTGTTTAAATCACCAAATGATTTTCATCAAATTTTCAGAAAAATGGTAAAAGTTGTCGACATTGGTCATTATTTTGTTGTTTTATTAAACTATTTTATCTTATCCTAATTAAATTATCTTGTGTGATTATGTTGAAACATGCATCCTTTCAGAATGAGGCCATCAATGTGATTTACTGTGATATTTATCATATTAAAAATAAAAGAAAAAGTCAACACTTTCTGATAATTTTCATAGTTTATTGCTTTTTTCTTGAAAGACCGAGCAGTAACAACCTCAGAGACAAGCAAATAAAATATTCACTTTTCTGCAGAACACCAGAGAAGACATAATATAGAGAAATATTATCTACGTAAAAAGATGATATTCCAAAAATGAATATCTTATAAAACATTTTGTGAAATGTACCAAAATGCTACAAAAATACAGCAATATCTGATTATTTTATCACATGTGAAAACATGTAGATGCATCTCATGTCACTGACATGTGTTTCTATTTTAATGACGTTTTTCAATAAAAAATAACATTCAATTTTCTTAACTCAAATATTGTAAGTGGTGTACACATTAAAAAAAGAAATAAATAGATAAATAGTGAAGAGGTGATATTTCACTTTTTTTTGACACATGTGCATCCGACAGGCACCACCTTGGGACAGGCGCACCAGGAGAACTCGGTGCCTCTGCGAACCTTTTCAAAAACAAAAACCCTGATGTTGATGGGCTTAGCGACCAACGTGTCATCGCCGCAGGTGGTGCAGTTAGCCTCTTCAATGGGTGAGAGTTCAGATCCTGGCCTGGAGATGAATCAAAAACAAGGAACAGGTCCATGAATACAGAGAATCAGTCCAGGATGGCAAGCTGAGTCAGGGCAGCACATTTCAGAAAGACGGCAGTTCAAAGCGCTTTATCACAAAAACATCTTAA